ATCTATTTTTTTCCCCTTTTCCCGTGTCCGCCCACATCAGGCTCATGAAGGATGGGGCTGCTGGACTTGCGTGTTCATCAGGGAGAGACAGCTGGCTAATCAGGGCCTGATCCATAGACCTTGAGTATCACCAAATTTATTATTGTGGCAGAACAATGAGGGCACACTCGTGCAATTACAGACCCGACCAATATTGGCTAGAAATTTATTGAAGAAAAAAAAAGCAAGTAATGCAAACAGGCAGTTTTTTTTTTTTATTATTTATTTATTTTTTAGGAAAATAAATGAGCAACTGGAGCACTGTCAAATCCTAATTAACATGAGTTGGAAGGCGTGTTGTGTCTGCAAAACTATTCACATTCACCCGGTTTTTAATGACTTTTAGAAATCAAATACAGGTAAACTTTGTAACTTCCCCCAGGTTTAACGTGCATGTTGGTATATGCATTTTCTAAACTTTTTTTTTATTTTTATTTTTTAAAGAAACTGTGGTTCTGTTATTACATATATTTACTAGACCTGTGTTTGAATTTGAGTAGATGGATTTGCAGTATTTCTCTTTTTTTCCACAAAAATGCACCGCGTTCGTGTGTACACATTACATGGCAAGTTTAGATCCAGAAAATTCTGAATTTCATGTTGATTTTTTTTGCAACACACTCTCTGTGTAATGACCTTTACTCTACTCCTGACTGCTAGCACCCTCAAGTCCTATAGTTACTGAGATCCTTTGATCTGGTTGACTGCCTGTAAAATCTGGCTCATTTTAAAGTTTGATCAGATTTTTACACCTGAACATTTTCCCTACATTCAACAAGGTGACTATTACAACCAATCGATCACTTACTACCTAACATATCTTGCACTTGGCAAAAATCCTTAATTTAAGATGTTACTTGAGCTGTTGTCCTGGAACTTTTGGTTTCTCTTTAGAAGTAGGCAGACATAAAGTAACCCAGCTTGCTCTGCAAAGCCGTTAGAGCAAATTAGTAATAAATGAACTGAACATCGTTCTGTTTCTTTTTGCTACATTTTGCTGGGGAGAAAAGTTTTGCATGCACTCTGGTGAACCCTTTCCATCATCTCTCTGCTGGCTTGATTGACTCTCCCACTGAATGTGTTGGCCTCGGTATCCTGGCACCTCTGCCACATGTCTTACCATCGGCTTTCCAGTGACTACATTACCAAGAAGAGATAGAACTGGAGTGTCTTGAAGGAGACGGCCTGTTGAATGTCTTCCCACCCTCTCCTTTTCTCTGGGACCCTCTGTGGACCCTCCCTGTGTTCCCTGCCCAGCCCCCGCCAGAGGAGAGAGCGGAGCAGGAAGGGCCCGATAGCCAGCCAGGCCGCTCCTCTGCTGAAGGAGCCTTATCTCAGAACTGCACACAGTGCATTGAGTGCATCCTTTTCCTGGGGTTCTGCATCTGGGAGAAGAGGAGGAGAAGGAGTAGACATGGCTTGATATAGGTGTGTTCTACAGCACAGGCTTATTTATTTGTTTATTTATTTAAGTCATTCTTCTAGTCCCAGCAATTATAAATTTGTACATTTGGTATATCCTTATGCAAAGGATAGCTTAGTATGTATATGCTAAGTAAAAAACATTATTTCGTGTTTATTGGTGAATCTAAACTAACCACTGTCAAAAGGAAAAATATCAAAAAGAAATGACATTCTCTTTTGGATGATTTTAATCATTTTATGCATACACATTTATAACTTGTAGCCTTAGTGAAAAAGTTATATGCTCTCAATTTTCACTATTGCAGGTGTTGTGGCCAGTAAAATTAAATCAAATTGTTAAGTTACATGATGCGTCCTATTTTCCTCCCTTCTATACCAGTGGAATAATTGGCCGTAAGTATTCAGTGTATTCTCATTTAAAAATAAACATTTTAGGGTTTTTTTTTTTTTTTTTTAATGACAGTATTTTAAAATGTAGAGACAGATAAAATGATATAAAAAGGAGAATCATGGAGTAGCTCACAATGCTATGACAATACATTTCATGTGACAAAAACTCCCACAATACAGTGATTATGCGATACTTGGTACCTTATAATACAGCTTTTATATCTGTGTAAATGAAGGAAAAGATGCCTTTAAAAGATTAAGTTTGTTTTTTTAAAAATTGTCTATATTGTGCTTTTTTTATGTTCTTTTTCGCAAGGATTTCTTTTCAAGTTCCGTCATCGTCGCTGGAATTTTGTCAACTTCTGCCACTAAATATGGGAAGCTTTACCATAATAACTCACGAAGCAGCCACCATTCTTGCTGCTAGTATACCATTAATCTTATTGCAACAACAAGGTTTACAGTGTACTGTGAAATCCTAATTTTTTTTATTTTCATTTTTTTAAAAAAAGAAGCAGCTTTTTTGTAGTTTTGGGTCTGTACCATATGCCGTAAAGCAGAAGAAATTACTAACGAATAGAAGACACACCTGGATATGGGGAAACAAGATCCCAAACATTACTGCAGAGTAGTTTCTTAGTAACATGTTGCCCTCAACACTCCACGCCAAGAAAAATCTCCAGGGCTGCTAGTAATGCTGACTGGAGCTGTAGGTTTATCCCCATACTGTATGTGTGTCCAGCCTGTGCTCAGCACAGCACTTCTGCTCCTGTCAGATGAGCGTCTAATGGAGATCCCCAGGCAGTGAGGATGAACCACATACCAAGCTCAAGCCACCTTTCCCTGATGATGAAGATGTTCTTCGCTCAGTCACTCTCCCCTCATTCTTCCCAGCTCTTTCACCCTCCCTCTCCCTCCTGAGAGTAATTTCACAGGCAGTTCTAAAGTGGCCCCCAGCCATCTTCCCAAATCCCAGTTACATGTTGTTTGGCGATGTCAGCTCAAAGCTCCATCTCCACTCTCCCAAGCAGAGAGGATGCCATTGTGCAGTAACGGGGAGTATAGATTTTCTCAGGGAAGTTGAAAAGTTTTGTATAATGGCACCTCACCTGAAGGGCCTCATTCCCCTTGTTAGAAGTTCTTTGTAGTCAGGGTGGAAAACTTTGTCCATTTGAACACCTGCGTTGTCATTTAGCCTCAGTCACATTTTTTCATATCATCTGATTTTGTTGTTTTGTAGATGCGATTGTGTTATGTAACACTCTGATATCCTCACAGCAAAACATTCTCGTTCTGATAAAAATCTTGTTCATAAGTTGCAGCCTTTCTTGCTCTTCAGACATTTTTTACCACATGAATCGGTGTATCAGACCACAAAGACAATAGCGTTTCCCTTGATGAAACTATATTGACTATGAAAAGCCTTTTAGTTGGCTAAGACTAATGGCTTTTAGGGGCTCACTGAAGTCCTTGGTGACTGGTTTAAAGAAAGGGGGAAAAAAAACACTTTTACATGCAGTAACATACAGCACATCATCCCTACACAAGACCAAAGCCACATCTAGTAACTTCACTCTACATTAAAGGCCTTTTTAAGTCCCAGAACATACATGCATTGTTTTACCCGAACATTAGTTAGCATATCTGCCTGAATCACTGCCGAGGGTCAGAGTAGTGTAATCATAATGTAAAAGCTTAAAGGCCAAAACCACAAGGTGACTCGACACAACAGTGTTTTCAATTTATCTCTAATCTGTAGGGTTTGAAAAATGCCATCTAATAATTCACCATCTCCGAGGTAATATGGAAAGGCTATATTGTTTGGTGTGATCCTCAAGAGGAGCTTCTGTATTCTTCTGAACAAATCATTATGCATTGAGTAGGCCATTAGGAAAATGAAGACAAATGGCTCACAGGGGTGAGGTGACAAATTGTTCATGCTGTGGAGTTAAAATCTGGAGTGTAGTTGTTCCTCACAGTTGTAAAGTTGTCCTCTTTTAATGTGGAGCCTAAAGGTCGGCAGAATGAGTCGTAACTGCCCTACTTTTTAACCTTTCCGATCAACGTGGGGACGATGACTGATGCGAGCACCTCTCACTTAATTTCAGAATTAAACTAATGATGCATCTTAGTGGCAGGCACATACAGGTGCACTACATCGCCAATGAGTCGGCTGAAGTTGTTTGAATCTTTTTGAAATACCACTGTGACATTTAGTAAACGCAAAAATCTACATTCACTTAGTCTTCTTATCGACAGTTTTTCCAACACCACAATACAGCGATTTAAAAAAATATTTATCATATGCTGGCATTGTTGGCTTAATTGGGTATAAGGTCTAGAATTTTTAAAGTCTTTACTTGTAAAACAAAGGTTAATAATAATAACGCAAAGCATGAGTTATTCTGTGCATTAATAAGTGTGCAACACGCATGATGCTGACAAAGAGCTTTGTACACACTTGTGCAACACACAAACATTTTGTTAGCGTGGAAGTGTTACATTGTGAGTGAAAAGACAAAGTTTGTCAAAGTAGACCACTGGAGACCACCAGGAAAACATTTGTAACAATAAACCTAAACAGACACTTAAATCACCCTCAGCCAGCCGATCAGTGACATTTTAAAGAAACGAACAAAGAGAAAGTGGCTAAAGCTACGCAGAGCCAGCCACGAGCTCGCAGCCTCAGTATGAGCAAAGGATCAATGTTAGGAGGGAAATTATGCAACAATTACAAAATAGAAGATGATTTTTGGACTGTTGAATTTAGAAACATACTAGAAAATAATGGAAGTACCTGAAATTCTTTATTGTGAGCCATCACTGATGGGTGACTGTTTAAGAAGCTAACTGTGACAAACACCCACAGCTGGATTGATGGATTTATGAAGATTATTAATGACTGGGTGATAAATGTGGTTCAGTGCTTATTTTAAGGCTTTAACAACTATTGTTAAATTAGCATCCTGTTGTGTGCTCTTTCTTTTCACTCACTGAAGTCTGCCGTGGTAATTTTTACATGTTGATTGACGACCACTTAAGCCCCCCCTCGCTCTACCATTGGTTGTTGTCTTTATCTGTGTAGATTCTCAAAGTGATGCATCAAAGCCTGACTCTGCCTTCTTACTCGTGTCTTTGTGGTTTAGGAGAGCAACAGCAGTGACTCGCAGGGTGAGGCGGAGGATGGCGTGAATCCTGATCCTTCTGACCAGGACCCAGAAGCCATCACTAAGACTGTCACGAGTACTCTCACTATGCAGGAGTACTTTGCACAGCGTATGGCTCAGCTGAAAAAGGCTCGTGGGGCCCAGAATGCAGATACTCCTGAGACATCAAATGCATCTGAGGAAGTCGGTCTCAACCACAACAGCAATGATGATACAGAAGAGCCCAAAAAGAAGAAGAAGAAGAAGAAAAAGGCTGCAGAAGAGCAGTGTAGCACACCCGCTGCAGTAGTGGACAAAGAGGATCAAGAGAAAGAACGTTCAAAGAAAAAGAGAAAAATGGCAGAAAGTGAAGAAGTAGTAAATGAAAACTGTAGCTCCACCTGTAGCACTGAGTGTGAAGAATTACAAACCAAGAAGAAAAAGCTTAAAAAACACAGTGAGCAAAGTGAGCTACTAAATGGACACGAGCCCGCAGAGGATGAAACGCTAGATTTAAATACAGTGCAGAAAAAGAAGAAGCGCAGAGATGAGGTGGACAGTGTAGCAACAGAAGACGGGAAGGAAGAGCTGGTGGAAAAGAAATCCAAAAAGAAAAAGAAAAGGAAGCATCAAGAGCAGGGTTTACATTAGGGCAGGGTGACTCAGTACTGCACTATTCTCCTGACTCCTAAGGGGGTACTTGTATTATGAAATTAAATGCCTTGTATATACACACCATAATAATCTGTTAAAGCATCCATTGATGCTGGTTTTTTCTTCTTCTTATTCTTTAGATAGTGACTGTAGAAAAAACTGATAGGGAGTGTTTGTCACTGGAAAAAACCTTGAAGCAGCCTATAAAAAGCCTCAACCTTGCACTGGTGGCCTCTGGAACACACTGCTGTAGGAGGAGATAGTATGGACATCTTGCTGACAGTGAGATGAGAATAAAAACACCACTATCATGGCTCAACAGGAAATACAAACTAGGAAAAAGGTCTGGAGCTTCCCATAAAACCCCCAACATGTTTTACCACCAGTGTTCAAGTCAGAAGGGTACACCTGGACTAGCCATTTTCCTGTTTCCAATCTTTAGCAAAGTTAGCCTCATATTTACTGCTCAGATATTAAAGTGGGATTAAAAATGTATTTAATATATAGAGAGAAGTTGACATGACTGTCGTCTAATCCCTTTTTAAAATAAAAATAATATTTAGATGATACACGTGCTTCATTCTATGAATTCTCTTGCCCAATGAATTAAAATGAGTAGAATCGCCCACATTTCCTATGATAAAAATGCATTTTTTTGGAAAATATAATTTTGTATATTACCATCTTATATGTAAATGCATTACTATTTGCCCATTTTCACAGTGGTTTATTTTTTTCCCACCACTTTTGATGCCCCTTTATTTTATTAAAGTGACTCAGACAGCTTCTGTCAGCTTTACAAAATGAAACGGAAACATGTTTTCTCTTTGATGTCACATGGCTGATGTACTTTGATAATGCTTTGGCAGATATATGAAAGAATTCTTGACTATTGAGTTCTACAGAAGTTTTTTTTTTTTTTAATAAATCCAAATGTCCATCACCCTTTGAATGTGTCCCTTTTTTTTTTCTCCATAGGTCAAGAGAAATGTTGTGCAAAAGTATTGAGACACCTCTGATTTCTTTGTTTTGCTTCCAATGAGTTAAACTCTTTTCTTCTTACTTTTTTAAGTGCTCTTGAGCAATAGTCCTCCAGGCAAAGCTTTTCTTTGGCTGCTCTTCCACTTGGTTTCAGTCCAATACTTGTACCTGACCATTTTCAGAGGATTGTATTTATTAGTGTATGTATAATGTGTATGTAAATTCACCCCCTCCCCTGGCCATTTATTAACCACTTATTACTGACCTATGAATCACTCAGCCATAAAAAAAAAAACTTGCATGGTGAACCAGAGCTTCTACACATAAGATATAACTTGATAAAGAACCAATTTTGAATTGGATGATTACCGGCAGCTTGTGGTAAGAACATACTTTGTTCCCATTTCTTTAGTGGAATCTAATGAAAAATGACACTGTTTGACAAGCATAAAGTAATAGTTTTGTACCAACAAGGTGATTCCCTGAAAACCTGACATATCTGAGCATGGTGTGCAGTCTGTCCTTCAACATGTGAGAAAACTGGACAAGAAGTCTTTAAAAAAAAAAGAAAAGAAGGAACAACAGATAAACAGTAAAGACCTGAAAGATGCATCTGGCCCTTCATTTGATCCACACTGAAGTTGAAATGGTTTTACTGGAAGCGGCTGAAGTAAACCCAAGAACTGGACTGAAGATCAACTGCAACTTAGGGAATGATGAATCCAAATTAGAAAATTTTGGTCATCAAAATCAACTAATCTATGGAGGAGGTCAGGAGAGAGTGAGTGTAAAACCTATTAGAGCAGGCTTGGCCGGCTCCAGGCTTCGAGGGCTGGTGTCCTGCAGGTTTTAGAGCTCACCCTAGTTCTGCACACCTGAATCAAATGATTAGTTAATTACCAGGCTTCTGGAGAACTTCAAGAAATGTTGAGGAGGTAATTTAGCCATTTAAATCAGCTGTAATGGATCAAGGACATGTCTCAAACCTGCAGGACACTGGCCCTTGAGGCCTGGTTTGGACACCACTGTATTAGAGGCAACAGCTTCATTTTTTCAGCACGACAATGATCGCAAACCCACTGCCAATGCAGTAAAAGCATAACTGGATAGAAAACACACAGTGGAACTCTATCATTCATGGATTGGCCTCCCCAGGGCTCAACATCATTGAAGCAATGTGGGATTAAAACGCCAGATGGGTCAAGATTTTTGCACGGCACACTGTAAGAGCACTTAAAAAAAACATTAAGAAAGAGATGAGGTAAAAAATCTGCTTGGTTGTAGAGATTTCAAAAAGTAAAAAGAAATTCACACACGTATATTCAAACACAGGTGGTTTCTGGAAGATTCACCTTTTCCACTTCAAATGTGACGCACAATGTTATGAAATCTTCCGAATATGACAGCTTAACAACTAGTCTGTCTTGTTCAGCAGTCGTCTGGTATGAGTCAAAGGAGGAAAAGGGAAACTAAGACGTCCAGTCTTGCACATGAAAACACTGTAGTATTCCTCGTCTCTATTTTAGGTTTTACGGAAACTTCTGAAAGTGAAGATGGTGATTGGTCATCCTGTGACGAAAAGACGTCCCGGGTATCTTTTCCTCTGCAATCAATAGCTGTGGATTATGCAATTCAGTTAGTTACCACACACAGAAACCACAATGAGTTTGTGGATAGATACAAAATAAAACTATCAAAGAGTAAATGGTTTTAGAAATGTAGATTTTTATTCCTCCTAAATTTCAGCAAGGGCACGGAGGTGTTCATTAAAAACAAACTATTTAACATTAACAGAATATGCCATGCAATTGTCCACTTACCTCCGTTTCCTCACTTATTTTGAAAGTAAAAGGATGATCTTGGGACGTGTAGCAGTAGGCCATGCATGACAGGTGACAAAGCTTTTACTTTTATAATAACACAATAGTCTATTAATAAATAGGTTTGGATATAGGCTCGATTTAAAAACATGCAGTCGTCTGGTATGGAGGCAGACCCCGCCAGGTATTCAGTAGCCACATGTCTTCTAGAGGGTGAACAGCAGGCTGATACAGCTCTCACCCACACAGCGGTTAATACCAGGAGCTATTAGTCATTTCAGTATCCCTCAACTTTGAGCGCTCATGTGTTTTAATTCCAAATTGCAAATGTGATGTTTAGCTCTTGATCTCGCACGTTCACTTTCCTTCCATGCTGACTTTCACTGGCACTTTGACTACACATCAATGTGTGACCCCTGTCAGACAGGCAAGAGGAAGTGTGGCGCTATATATCACCGATGTGCCTGCTCCACACACAATCTGTGGCTTCAGGTGCCGTATCCTGTTCCTGTGCACTGCAAGTTTCACACAAAGCTGACACTTCAGTTTGATGTGTAAGGAGCAGACACAGCCACCCAACCGAAAGATGCATATTGCAACTTAACATTGATGCCTGTGAACTCAACCTGCAAGAAAAAAAGAAGTGTTCCTCCAGTGTGTAGTCTGCATGCGTGATATAGATCAAGACGCTATCTGACCTGTGATCAGCGTCCGGACTTGACAAGTGTGTTTGTGAGAGAGTGGGAGCTGCTCCATGGCTGCAGCCCAAGAGTATCCTGTCAACAGGAACTCCAGGATTTGATATGCAGCCGCTTCTTGCCACAGGAGGAAACTGATTTGTTTGTAGTGTGTGTGTGTGTGTGTGACGTGGTCTCTTTACAGGTTCCAGAAATTAATCTACAGCCCCAACTTCAGAAAAAGACTCATCACGATTCTTTGTGGGAGCATGAGAAGATTAATTGTGAAAAAAATCACTCAAAACTATTAAGGACTACAAAAACATGACCAAATTACTTTTCAAGGTACAGTAATTTAAATAAAATTGTTTTGTTTTCGTCCTCCCTCAGTTTTAAAAGGTATGTGTTCGTTTTACTTGTCACGCTGCTTGCTCTTGGAGTTCAGTGGAAATCTGGAAACACCAGTTAACCAGTTTAGTCTGGTGAGTAAAGCCTTGCGTAGACTGCAAAAGCAGGTTAGGTGTGTTTTCTATGAAGGTTTCCTTGTCAACTCGTAAAAACTCTAAAATTGCAAAACCCTCTTTTTCATCATTACACGTGAGCATTAATGCACCTGTAACAGGAAACAACAATGAGGTTTGCAAAGTATTTATTTTCCTGTGTGAAAATCCAGCTGATGATGATCAAACGGTGATCAATAGCTCGAAAGAATCATGAATTACTTTTATGAGTTGACCTATCTCTTAAATGGGATATCTGTCAGAGGATGAAAGTGCTGTTTTGTAGAGAGGCGAGTTTAAAGAGTTGGTAGTGTTGAAATGTTGCTCTCTCTCTCTCTCTCTCTTCCCTTCCACGGGGCGCAACTTACAATCAAGGAGGAGCCGAGAGTCCTGCGGGTTTTTTTCTTGGAACCTGCTAGTCAAATATAAAGCGCTTCCTCCCATCCACCAGGAAAGACTGAACCATAACTCAGAAGAGGAGCCGCTGCCTGAGCACATCTGTGCTTTCTCCCAAATCCGTAGCGATCCAGTGAGTGAGTCAAGCAGCCGTGGAGTTTTAATTGTACTATTATTCTCATTATTATTATCATCACTTAAGCATGTCTGTGTAGTTTCTCGGTCGCTTAATTAGCCGACAGTGAGAACACAACTTCTCTGAGAGACGCGCATCGCAAGTTTGCAGAGGAGAGCGCGCAGATGGCTGCTCTCATCAGCGCGTACTCGTCGTGGCCGGAGTCCTTCGAGTGTCCTCCGGGAGACGGAGACGGAGCCGACGGGCATGGTCCTCACAGGAATGCCGGGGAAAAGGCGCCGGAGCCGCGGATCAGACGACCCATGAACGCGTTCATGGTTTGGGCCAAAGATGAGCGCAAACGGCTGGCGATTCAAAATCCTGACCTGCACAATGCCGAGCTCAGCAAAATGTTGGGTGAGGAAAAAAGTTATTTAAAGTTACGAGTTTTGTTATTATTATTATCATCATCATCATTATAATTATTATTTTTAAGCTACTTATTACACACTTCACTTCTACTTACTTTTCCTCTCTTAGGCCTCGGTTGTAGTAAAACACGTTTTAATACACGTATCCGGCAGTGCCAAATGAGCTGCTTTATTTAAAATGACATTAAAAAAAAAACGTGTTAAAACTTTTTTAAAATTTAATTGGAATAAATTGCCCATTGTCTTTCTTAAAGTAAATGAAACTGCGCCGCAGTTAGAGCTGCCTTCAAAAGCGCATCGCCAGAATCCGCGTGTATTTAGTTTAGTTTAGTTTGCAGTAAATTCGTTAAGAGGCAGAAGACAGAAGCGGAGAAAAATTAGCGTTTTATTCTGCTTCTTAACAGCTTCTTAGATTATTGGTAAAGGTTAAACTTTAAATCTGGCACTTGCGGAAATCGGAAATAATCTGTGAGGCCCACATGTGTCTATTTTTGTATTTATCTTTAAAAACTGACGTTCGGCTTGAAAGCGGACATTTAATGCGTGTTGGTAAGTTTCTTAAATGTAATTCAGAGCTACAAAAGACGCAGAAAGTTGCGGTGAAATTAAACACTGATTTTATTTCTTGTTTATGATCACAAACCTGAGACGTTAATTTAGACTGCGATTTCTAAACAATGAGGTTTAATTTTTCCGTAGCCTGCCAACGTTTCTAATTGCCTTATTTTCAGAACTGGATATTTTGCTTGTGAATTAAAAGAAATGTGATTCTGTAACTTAAAAATAATTTTTTTTGCAGTTATTTATAAATTGTTTGTAAGTTAAAAGATGCTGATTTATTTTATAATAATAAAGACTGCTAAACTAGTGCATATATATTGCATTTTATAACTTGTTGAACCATATTCAGATTGAGATTTTTTTTCTTCTTCCTCTGCATTCAGGCAAGTCATGGAAGGCCCTCACTCCCCCTCAGAAGAGGCCCTATGTTGAGGAAGCAGAGAGGCTTCGGGTGCAGCACATGCAGGACTACCCCAACTACAAGTACCGGCCTCGCCGGAAGAAACAGCTGAAACGCATCTGCAAGCGAGTCGACCCCGGGTTCCTCCTGAGCGGGCTGGCTCCTGACCACAGCACTCTGCCAGATCAACGAGCCTTCTGCCACCCCCTCGACAAAGACGAGGGCAGCCCTAATGGAGCCGTCACCAGCTTTTCCAGCTCCAGCCCTGCTCTGCCCAGCGTCAGAAGCTTCAGAGACACGGCTGGCTCCAACAGCAGCTTCGACACCTACCCTTACGGCCTGCCCACCCCTCCTGAGATGTCCCCGTTAGATGCAGTGGACCACGAGCAAATACCCCCCTCTTATTACTCAACATCTAGTAGCTCCTCTGTTTCCTGTTCTTCCTCAGTCTCCTGTCCAGACGAGCACCACCAGAATCAGACACACATGGGCAGCCCGCCCCCTTACCACTCTGATTACACTCACGCCCAGATTCACTGTGGGGGCTCACACTTAGGTCACATCTCTCACATGTCCCAAACTGGTGGTGGCAGTGGACTGATCCCTGGCCCACCCCTGTCTTTTTACAGCTCCCCACCTTTCCCCCAGATTCACCACGGGGTCCACCAGGGCCACCTGGGTCAGCTGTCCCCCCCACCAGAGACACAAGGTCACCTGGAGACTCTAGACCAGCTGAGCCAAGCTGAGCTTCTCGGTGAAGTGGACCGCAATGAGTTTGACCAGTACCTGAACTCTACCGCGAGCGGCTTCCACCCGGAGCAGGGCAGCGGCATGACCGTTACAGGACACATCCAGGTGGCATCTGCCGCCACCACTTCTGCCACTACGTGTCCCAGCAGCTCCACAGAAACCAGCCTCATTTCCGTGCTAGCAGACGCGACGGCGGCCTACTACAACAACTATGGCATCTCGTAAGCGTGGTCACAACTCCTATTGAATGCGTGACTGATCAAAGACACTACAAAGGTTGAAGAAATTTAGGACAATGTTGCACTTGGGTGCTGATAAAAGGGAAACCCTTAGCATCTAAGGGCAAATGAATCCAACCATGATTAAAAACTGAACTGATTACAGAGCAATATGATTGTCTGGAGCCAGGGAAAGAACAAAGAGCAATTGGAGGACTGTGAAGAGAAGGAGATGGACACCTCAGGGATGCAGACACAAAACACTTACAGTATGCCACCTCCAGTTGTCATGAAATCTCTAAACCAGTAAAACAGTCGGAAAAAAAAGAAAGACAAAAGACTTGTTTGTCCACTTGTAAATGTCACCAGTTACTGTTGCCAGCGAGTCATGTACAGATGCTATTTAGAAGCTAATTTAAGTCCTTTGATGTTTTGCATAAATGCTAACTGTAATGCTCTTATCAGCGCTTTCCATTCGAATGTTTGTATCATGTTCCTGCTCTCATTAGTTTGGGAGTCTTACCTCAGTAGTTGTAATTGAATGAGGTTTTAGTTTGGACATTTCTTATGCAATTTAACAAAGTGATGTATATGATGATGACAGAAAGGCGTTTATACTTCTTCTCAAGTACTTAATAATATATAATCGACCTCTACAATGAAAAATAATAATGCTAACTGTAACTGTATGCTGATTTAGGTTTGTGAAAGACAATAATTTAAAAATAAAGGTCAATTTTTATATTAA